ATAAGATTGAGGCCGGGGTCCTCACAGTCTGCCCGGAGTGATCGAACCGAAACTACTGAGAACCGGGCTCAGCATCCCTCAAATGGATATGATGATGACCATGATGATAATGATGCTAATGAAAATGATGATTCAAATATATGAAAAAATATGGAATATTATGCTATATCAGCTATTCTGGCCTCCTAATCCTAGTACAACTCTTAGCCCTTCCTGTACCAGGACACTGTACCTCAGAGACAAAACCAACCTAACCAACATCAACCATAGCTGATCTCTTCTCGCCTCCTTGCAGCCCCCCCCGGTGCACCACTGGAATGCCTTCCACCCTCAGCAAGCCCCAGATCTCTCTACAAGGCTGCACACTCCTGCCATTTACAGGTTACAGGGCAACGCCCCAGCTCCGGCCAGCGTCGTTCTGGCATCGGTAAACCAAGGGCACAGAACAGAGCAACTCAGTAGATATCAGTCCAGGTTCAACCATCTCTGAAGTCCTATATCCCGGATGTGGAAGAATGCTAGATGCTGCCAAAATTTCAGAACACCAAAAAGCTTAATATAACAATAATCAGATGATGATACTGGTGATGTGATGACGATGATGATGATGATGATGATGATGATTATGATTTTTTTTTAATTTTTTTTTTAATGATGAAAATAATGATGATGATGATGATTAGTATGTAAAATTATAGAAGACTATGCTATATCAGCAATTTTAGCCTCCTAATCCTATAACAACTCCTAACCCTCCCTGTACCAGGACATTACATCTCAAAGACAATGCCATCCTAACCAATGTCAACCATAGCTGACCTGTTCCCGCCACCTAGACTATCCCTGGACCCATAGGTTGTCAAGGCAGCCCCCCCCAGTTCGCCACTGAATTGTTTTCCTCCCTCAGCAAAACCCAGATCTTTCTACAAGGCCTCACACTCCTGCAATTTGCAGATTACAGGGCAACACCCCAGCTCCGGCCAGCGTCGTTCTGGCATCGGCAAACCAGAGGCATAGAACAGAGCAACTCTGCGGAAATCAGTCCAGATTCTACCATCTCTGAAATCCTATATCCCGAATGAGGAAGAAGGCCAGATGCCGCCAAGAATTACCGAACACCAAAAAGCTTGATATAGCATCAATGAAGACTTTGGAATTCTTTTTTTTTTTTTTTGAATAAAGATACGTAAATTTAAACTTTGAAAGTCTCCTCCCCTCCCTCCTCTACTCATTACCCCTTTGTCCCTTTGTTGCCTCCGCCGAAAACAGTCCTCCAATGTAGGACCTCCTTTTCAGCCCCAACTTGGAACAACCCCTCTCTTCCTCGCTATAACCCAAGAGACATTCAGCTTCCACCAGAAGAATGCCCCTGCAAACCCCTTACCCTATTCTGCCCCCGCTGAGGCTATCCACCCCAACCCCAGAATAGAGCAACCCTCAACTTCTGCACACACCCTCTTCAGAGCGCCACCTCCTTCCTTGTGACACCCCTGTAGAGTACTGCTCTTCCCACCTTTCCACCCGTACCACGAACTTCGAAACAACCGTCATCATCCATCCAGGGAGGAAAGTGAACTCCCATATGATTGAAACATGACTTAGCAAGATCACCAACGAAATTACTACTGAAACGATTTTTTTTTTTTTTTTTTTTGAGTTGAAGATAATTAGTTAATAATGCAATAGGATTATGAAAATCTCATTCATAGAGAACTATGAAATATGAAGAAGTACACAAGGAAAAATTAATCTAAAATGAATTAGAACTTTGGTATTCAAAAATACCATATCGAAACTTACATTAATAAGAAATCTAGGTATTTAAAAAATACCTTCCCGATTAATAAAATAGTAAATAAGATGCTGATGTTGATGATGATGATGATGATGATGATGATGACGCACCAATGATGATGATGCTCATAATGATGATGATGATGATGATGATGACACACCAATGAAGATGCTCATAACGATGATGATGATGTCAGTAGTGCTTCTGCTGCTGCTGATGATGATGATGATGATGATGTTGATGATGATGATAATGACGATGATGCTGATGATGATAATGATGATGGTGAGATGATGATGATGATGATGATGATGATGATAATAATGATGATGGCAACCGCCGATGATGATGATGATGATGATGACGACGATGATAAAACCGAAGCTGGTGATGAAGATGCCCTCTTACGAGCTGATGATAAAGTTGTCGTTGACGAACATGCTGATGAAGAAGCCCACTTACTAACTGATGTTGTCCCGATAAGATGACGCAAAACCTTTCTTAAAACAAACGCACTGGATACGAGCTGAGAACCTGAATATCACTTCCCTCCTTATCTCCCTCCATTCGTCTTCCCATCTCATGGGACACACTGTACTCTCCTCCCTCTTGCTGCGAGCCGACCTCCTCCACCAAATTATGCAAGATGGAGAGTACCAATGATTCTTTCTGAAGCAAGCCTCGTAAGAAAAACTTGCTCCCCCTTACACGACATGCTAGCCCGTAGCATTCCTCGTGACAGGCACAAGACGGCGAGATGGCAGTACGAATGTTTTCAAATGTTAGGAGATAGAGAGGTGAACTATTCACCCCCTCGATCATCTCACAGCTTCGCCCAGCATACCACGTTCGTTGAAGATCCAACCCCCACACCACTCAGCAATTCCACACTCGAATTTCATAGCGCGCCCTAAATCTTTGATATCTCATGATCCACTCGACCATTTGATCTGAAATTTGGACCACCTCAGCTCCTCGACATAGACCACCAGTGGTCCAATTTTCAGCTCAGGGCGCGCGCCCAATCGCGCGCAATCGTCGAACGCACGCGCGCTATTTTCCTTGCTGCGTATAGATTTCCAGTGCGCGCGGCTCCGTGGCAGTAACTTTGATTGATGATTGATACTGCCGGGGCGCAGCGCTCCCGGTAGCGCTGCGCCCCTTCACGCATCTGGGTTGTTTCAGTGCCACATCCTATAATGGATCTATTCTGCTCCATGTTGCTTGCTATAAAGGCAAAACTGTTTTATTCATCAGACTCGAACCTGTGATCTGCAATATGAAACTGGAGGGTTCTACCACATGTACTTCCATTGGAAGTGGATATAATGTGTGTTATATCCACTTCCAATGGAAGTACATGTGGTAGAACCCTCCAATTTCATACTGTAGGTCATAATGTGTGTAATATGGGCTAGGGGAAATCATCAGAGCGACCAAAGCCAACAACAACAACAACCAACGTGAAGTCTAGGCCAGCATACAACACCCATGGACTGACCCCCGGGTGGTGCGCAGGCAGTGTCTGTAATAGTACCATACGTCAGCCCAGGGGTGTGTGTGTGTCCAGCCGTGCGTCATTCTAACGCCCTGCCGGTGTCCATGCACAAGGTTGCGGAGTTTTGAACCCACAACCTCATACCACAATGCGCATTCCCAACCGGTGCTCTAACCACTGAGCTACATCAACTGGACAGACTGTTCGGTGGTCTTAAGAATGTTTCAGGATCTGGGGACTCCTAGCAACTTTTCTTAGGTGGTTTCGATGCTGTTATACTCAGTGATCTGCGGTTGTTCGACGCCAGAACGACGCTGGCTGGTGCTGGGGTGTTGCCCTGTAGCCTGCTGATGCAGGAGCGTGAGGCCTGGTAGAGAGATCTGGGGATGCTTTGGGGTGGGCATTCCATGGGACAACCAAGGGTTGCTGCTGGGACGACGCTGGTCGGAGCTGAGGTGAGTTGTGTTGCCCTGTCACCAAGCAGGATGTGGGTGTGTGAGGCCTGAAAGAGCTCGACAGGGAGTACGACAGTGATGGAGAGCCTTGGAAGGGCTTGTTAGGGATTTTGAGGGTGTTGGAGCATTTGTAGGACCTTTGCGGTCTATTTCCATGTTTCCCGAATTGCTGCAAGTGTTCTCAGACGTTTTCTCAGCCGAAGCCGGGTAATGGCCCCGGTATCTCAAAAAAGAGATCGAGGTGAGTGGGAGAAGGAGATGGTGGGATATCACGTGTCCTACTAGTAAGGGGGCTAGCTGGTAGGATGAGAATAGGGCACAACAACAACGGAGATGGTGGCTCTGCTGCAGTAAGTCTTGCCAGAGTGGGCTACAGGGGATTGATTGGGGGTGCGATCTGAGTCGTTTTCTGAATTGCACATATGTTACTGTTTCTCAGTCAAAAAAAAAAACTGCAAGTGTTCTCAGATGGTTTTTCAACCAAAGCCGGGTAAGGGCCTCGGTATCATTTTTTGAATTTTGCCTATTTCTGACTTTCGTCGTAGTAATTTTTCTAAGTAGCT